ACTAACCGGAAGTAAGATCCACGTGTATCATGCATCGCGAAGCTGTCAGAGAAAGGAGACAAGGGACGGCTTTATACTTTCTTAGCAAGCAATTCAATAAATCGATCACGTAAAAGAAACGTATACGTAATGATTTTTTTGCATATTCATGCACGGACATTAGTTTAAACAAATTCATTGGCAGTCTTTGATTTGACCTATTTTGTGCGTTACGTTATAAGTATTAGAAAAGTGAAAGACATAAAAGTGATTATTTTTTTTATAAAATAACAATTGCCAAATTAAACTCGATTTATCAAAACATTATAGATCTCTGTGTAAATTTTTCTTCAAATTAATTAAGTTGTTTAATTAAATTTTATGAAAATCTATATTAAAAGCATGACATTACTCTTCGGATTACGTACGCAGTTTTTAATGTAATGTTTAATTGAATCAATATTACAGGACAAGGATGAAGACAATAGCTGCGTTCATCAGAGAAGACTAATCAGTTAGTTATTTAATGATTCTTCAATATGATAGTTCTTGCCTTTAGTTTTTTGTTGAATCTAACCGATTTGTTTTTCTGCTGAATGTAATCAATGAGTCAACTTTTCTATAAAAATGATTTCTCATTTTTACATCTGAAAAAGCATCTATTCGTGACGCACCAATTTATATCAGACAAACCGATTTGATCAGAGATCGCATATTATCTCTTCAGCGAAAAGTAATTCTGGACCGTTACAAGACATCATTACAAGACATTTTCTTCACTGCCACTCGTAATTCCCTTTTTCCGATGAGAAAGCTCAATAAAAAGTACCGGGTGGCAGACACGATCTCACCGCATCTAAAATCATTCGGCGGTCCTCGTGATTGTATTAATTCACTTGACGGAATACAGAATACGGGACGCAGGGTGTATACAGATGCCTCGGGAGTTCGCGTGTAGATGTATTGTCTTCTCGGCTCCTTTCTCGCATTAGCATAAGAATTCAGCGTGTGCCTGATGTGCCTATCAATCGGATTCCCCCTCTTTGTCCCCCTCCTCCTCTCCCCCCCGCTGATGAATCAAGACTTAAATCTTGCACCATGATCAACCGGCAGTCCGAATGTCGAAACGTCGTCATCATCGATCGAAATCTGAAACACGTTGGCCCGTAAAACCGACAACTTTGGCCTCAAATGGCCGACACCTCGGAAAGTACAACGGCATTGCGACACGCGAGGATTGATCTTATCACGGTTGGGATTCTTAATGATCGCATTAACCGCGACGAGATTTTGCAGGAATTGAATATCAGCGACAAAAAGATGTACAAGTATGATCGTACGCAGATGAAGACGTACGCAGTTTATTTATTTGTAACTTTGTTAAAAAGCAACGCATCACTCGCGATAATTTCAAATATTTTTCAACTATAAAATATTATAGAATTTAAAAAATGGCTTTAACTTTGAAAAATCTGTCGTACTTTTTATTTATATTTTACTATTTTATTCGTGTTATTTTTATTTCCATCTATTCTTTTACTACTTCTTTTAGACAGAAAGCATATAACGTAATAAGTACAATATAGAAAAGAGTATATTAAAATAAATCTTTATCGTGTGATATAAAAACATTATGTACGAGACGTAAATATTTACAAAAAGAACGGTTTTACTGAAGTATGTCAAAATTTAGTTAAAATAATGAATCTGAAAATAATTTTGTTGTTGGATCATCAAAATAATTAAGTAAAACGTACACTTAAACGTGTGATGACAATATTTTAATATTTCCGTAATCAGTTTAAGTGTCCTATATAATTATTTTGATGATCCAAACACAATTATTTTCAGATTTCTCACCAGCTAAATTTTTAGATTATAGATATTTCAGCAAAACTGTTTCTTCCGTGCGGCAAAATAATGTTACTCAAGCCATAAATTGGGTAGCATGAATTTTTCGGAACAGTATAATAATTCTCAAGTTCTTTGTTGCACGAAGCGTTCACGTGACACGTTCTTGCCCAAATTAAGAGTCGAGGCTTAAGAATCGAGGGGTCGAATCGTTTCGGCGTGCCGAATGCGCGTCGCGAAGTCGAAGTGAGGAACGAAAAGATCGACGATCCGGTGGCTCCAGTCCCAAGAACAGAAATTGTTACGTGCTCGCTCCGGCAGCGTGATTCGAATGCTCATGCGAGTGATCGGCCGCGGTCATCCAGAGCCGAGAGGAGAGACTCACGAGAGTCCCGTAGCGTTACTCAAGCGCGGAGGAGCTTTCTTCGACGGACGTGCACACGCACGTATGTACACGCACGCGTGAGCAGTGCCGTAGCCGTGGTGAAAAAACGGTGAAAAGTATCTCGAACAATATCATATATTATTACTAATCTATTGTATTAGGTGTTGGAATTAATTCGTAGCGTTTTACAAGTGATGGGAAGTACTTTCATTAATATATTTTTTAATGCTCATGTGAAATAAATAACATTCTTTCATTAAAAAACGCTACGAATTAATTCCAACACCTAATACATATACAAATTAACAATATTAGAACGATATATAGAGACCAAACGTGACGACAATAATAATAATAATAATAGAAAAAAATATTTGAGAAGTGCAGATAATTTATCTCGCTCGCATTGCGACATGGAGAATTCTCGTCTCATTGAGAATTTTATTAAGACAAGCAATCCGTTATTGCTCATCATAATAGTGGTTACTTATATGTTGATATGAATTATAATCCATATATATTTATATAGTCTTATATTCGAAATCGTCTTATGTACGTCTCGAGACGCTGTACGATCAATTCATTGGATGAAGTCTCTTAAGATTGTTTATGATCAGACTTAAAATGATCTTGTGATGTAAGCACAAACAATATGAATACAGCCATGTGAGGTTTATATGAAATTTTTTTCACGGAGACTCACGGACTCTTCAAGTCCGTATGCAAGGTAGAAGAAGGTAAATCTCGTGTTCGGGGCGCGAAAGTGGCTAATCACGTCGCTACGCACGTCAAAAGGCGATTGTCCGTCCACGCGGAAGCAGAGAATCCACGACGGCTCTCCTCTGCATCTATCCCTCGATCACCTCTCGCTCGCAGGACACGTACTCGTCGTGTCCCCGTACACGTCCTCGTGCATACGACGATACGACGCGCGCGGTATGTACTGCGATGTGTGTACGCGATGTGTGTGTCGTCTGCTTCTACTCGTCGCAAACGCGTACGGTGCGTGATGCCGAAACAGCCGACCGGGATGTCGGACGGGAATCTGCGCGCCAGCGATATCGAGGGCAGGCTTTCGCAAGGAATTTAAAGAGCAGATCGATCGTAATCTTCGACACACCCTAAGTCTTCTCGATCGAACACGCCCGCTTTCGATCGAGTTGCTTCTAGGCTCGTTCTTAAATTCGGATCGCATAGGCAAAACACTATCAATAATATATAATCGGTGTGACATTAAGGAATGGTTTGTTTTCACTCTTACTATGATTTCTCAAATAAAAATTGTATATTTCGTTTGATCCATATTTTATTTCAATTAAGAAAAATTAATAATAATAATGAAAAGATCAAGTCAAATTTTTTAACATTAATTTATGAAAATGTTATTATGTTATTCGTCGGAATGATTTTGATTTTGCCTATATATATATATTCTTGTTTGTTTACGAAGCTTTTAAGAATTAACATACAGAATAATATTTTTTTAATTCATTGTTCAACAAATTTGGACCTTATAATTTTTTATTTTTTATAACTTTTTAGATTTCTTTATACTTATTTTATTCCATTTGCTGTCATAAATGAAAAGAGAGAAGTTATACAATAGAGATATTCTGTCACATCGCAAAACGAACGATCATAAATTATGCATCCGGTTATCGATCATCGTGTTATTTCTGTTTCTCCTATTTGATAGACTAATAATTCACTTATAAAGCGATTATATAATTAAATTTACATTTTTTTAACACGATTTAGATGGTCTTGACAAACAATATTCTGAATAAACGGAGTTTCATGAGTACGAATGAGCTATTTATTGTAAGGTATAATACGCTGAATACGCTGAATACGCTGAAACTTATGACGATGTCCTTTCGCTTAATGCATGGGTATTTAATGCGTCTACTCACCAAACAGGTAGACGCTTTTATGAATGCGACTGGCATTGCCCATGGGTGAGACCGCCGAATATGGATGGCAGCCGAAGATAACCGGGAGCGATGAGACTGCTTAGCGAATAAGGACGTGACGTAGACACAGCTTGACCTATAAGGCAAACGGATCTGCTGTTAATAGTCAATATGCATTAGACAAACAATGAGCGGATCTTCGGGCCGCACACGATGTCTGTCTTTTCTTCTACGTTGTAGAGATTTTAAGCAGCAAAAGCTTTAAGTTATTCGAAATTGCTTGATATAACTAAGCATATATCATATGTATATATCTTTTATTTTGTAAATCTCAATACTAAATAAAATGAGATATCAAATAAAACCAGACAGAAATATAGCTCTTTTAAGTCTTAATATTTTAAAGAAGATATGGAGATAAGAATTATAAAGAATGTGAAATTCGAATATAATACGTAATATGTAAAAAAGTGAAAGTGAGAAAGTAAGTAATTTACTTGTTATAATATACACATTTTATTTATTACACACACAATATATTACATTTTTGTATAAATAAAAAATATGATATTTTTATTTTAGAAACTCGAACGTATATAAAATATAATAAATGTAAATCAAAAAGAAATATGTAAAAAAAAACATAAAAAATTTATGTGGCTGAAGCTAGATAATTATTGTTTGCTCTGTCTTTTGTCTGTGTCATTAAAGTTTCGGACAAATTATGGATGATACATGTATAATGATCTATAACCAATCAAATAGCTAACATTAAGCAATCAATGCAATAATAACTAAGAAAATTTTTGGGAAATTTAATAGAAAATTTTAATTAATCATGATTTTTGACTCGGGAATATCGAGTTCAGACACAAAAATTAAAGATGATCATGAAATAAGAAATTCCAAGGTAAATATGTATAATTGGTTTTCCATTAATTCTGATTAAACAAGTGTTCTCTCAATTCCAGTTTGAGTTCTATTTGATAATGAAAAATAATAATTCACCAATTATTATTTTCCCAAAATTTTTACATTTCATTATTTAACTGTAATTAGGACCGTAATTAGTTATTATAGAATACAAAAAATAATCTACATTTTTGGCATTTAGTTTAAATAATTAATTAATTGTTGATTATTGATTGATTGACAGTTAAAATATGTATTTTTTATTCTTTATATTTATTTCAGATCAAGATGCTATACTTAGGCATAATGTATTTTGCTACTAATTGTTTAAGCTCGATCGCTTTGGAAGCTGGTTCTCGCAATTTATTTCGCTCTATTTCAACAAGACCTGTGGTTTTTAATAATATATTCCGCCGAAATTACAGTAACTGAACTTCAGTCTGACAAGATTAATTGACACGAGTATGAGATAATAATAATACATAGAAAATAATTTCTTGTTTAACGCAGATTTGAGGATTAAGATAATGATAGGAGACCTGCTTGCAGCATTGATATCTACAACAATGCTAACAATTGGTGACATATATGGAATTCCTTATCTTTATTTGCCATGGCTTGTCAATACTATTGAAGGGATGATTTTTCACGAAGGGCCAACTCTTTTCGGATTGGCATACACTGTGTTACCCAATGCAAACTTGCCTACGGGATTATTTATGTTTATAACACTACTTTTATATGGTAAGATATTTAAAACGATTAAGATTAAAGAGAAGCTTCATTCATGGATTTTACAAGAAGTCCAGTTTCTAAATGATTCATAAAATCTAAAAAGTTGATTAAACACGCGTTTTTGATGTCGAAACTCATGACATTATAAAATATATTACTAATATTAATGCAATTTTAATATAACATTAATGCAACATACTTATTATACTTTTTAGTAGGAAGTATAAAATATTGCGTTCAAATATTTTTCCATTGTTTGTGATAGTATAAAATTTAGATTGGCAAATATTTAAAAAATAATTTACTAATCTGAACTTACAATTTATAATTAAATTGAACAATTCGTAACTGTAATTTTATTTTCCAGTGGAAGAGCTGTGTATCTGGAAAGACGTTCTCATGAATTTCGAACGCTGCTGGACAAGATATAATAAAAATAATAAATTGAAGAAGAATGCAAAATCGATAAGGATAGCAAATAAAGAATTATGCAACAAAGCTAAAGAAAGTCTTAATGAAAATATAGTTTCGCCAAAATCAACAACGAATCAACAAAATTCTAAAACTCATTTCCATGTACTTAATATTGATGATATTATTAAGCCTATTGAAAAAACTATAGAAAATAATACATCGATTAAAAATCGTCGTAGCAAAAGTCTGTTTACAGAAGTGACTGGTTAGATTAAAACTCATTTAAATGATAAATAAAAGATTTAGATCAATTATAATTTTTTCCTTAATCTGGATTTTCTTAATCTCAATTATATTGAACTCAAATATAAAAATTAAAGATAGCAATCATAAAATTAAAAATATGTCGAAATAAAAATTAATTTAATAATAATACTTTAATATTGTCGCATGATTAAATTTTAACTCCCTCCGTTCGACTTTTGTGACGAATAATAATTATTGTAAAATATAAAAATTAAAAAATTAATAATTAAATAATTAAAAAGAAGTAGAATAGTGCTCTAATAGCGTAAATACATTCATGTTTTATATAAATAGCCATCATTTATTATTTAATTTGAAGTCTGATTTCTCTGATAAAGGTCACAATCTGTTGAAATTTTATTGAGATATATAGGCGAATGTTAAATTAATTTTAATTCCTTTTCCTCACCTTTATAACAAAATAATAATAATTGCCGTAAAATATAAAAATCAAAAATGTAATAAATAATTAAGAAGAATATTAATGCTACAATTAAGCGTAGTTAAACTCATATTTTACATCCCAGCAATTGATAATTTCTTTTTTCTTTTCAGCTGAACTTCCTGTTCGTCTTTCCTTTTTTCTCTCCAACGTGGAAGTTCAGTTTGAACAGATCAAATATCAGTTTGCTGAGTATATATATATATATAATCATCAGTTAGCTTTACAAATATGATTGCTTAAATTAGTTTGAAGTCCGATTTGTCTAATATAAAGAAATCGCATTTTAATTATATTAAAATTTTATTAAATTATATTACAAAATTTCATTAAAATTTTATTAAAATATATCATTTTTTACTTCATAAAATATAATCATTACTTATTAAGAATACAAATCCCAAAATATACTGTAACATACTACAATGTGCAAATGTGCGGCTAAGCAAATTTTTACATTTATTTCTTTCTTTTTTCATTGTATTGCATTGTATTCTATTTTATTATCTTTGCATTGTTTTATTGCATTGTATTTTATTATATTATTTTTCTTTTATAATTCTTCAGTATTTTTTTATAATAATTAAAAAATATGAAATATTGAAATATAATATGTAAAATATGAAATTTTACAAAATGCATACAAAGCAACGGCCTCTGCTCGCATACGCTATTTCCTATGTCGATAATATCACAGAAAGTGACTCCATAACTCAACAAAAGGGAAAATAGAGTAGAGAGATGATTGTTACAACATACCGATGAATCGTTGCAACAACGGTTCGTCCAATGATTCACATATGGCACTCCTGATATCCGATACACAATTCGTACATCACGATTATAGTTAAACCTCGCTCGGAAGGTTCTAGATTTACGCGTTTTCGATTAAGAGAATTTGCTTACAGACATAATTAAAAAATTATTTTGGATGCTGCCTTCGGGAGTTGTTAAGAAAAAGGTTGGGAATCCTGATAGTTTCAAGTTTCAACGCCCACCTGAGGTGGACGGCAACGTTGGCGCTGAGCGACAACGCGTACGACGGACAAACAATCGCGAGGATTAATCAACGTTGCGAGCGCGAATATTAATTAACGCGTCGTCATGACTCGACTTCCGCCGTTTGTCGGCACACGCCAGATCGTGGTGTGTGTTTTTTTTTTATATTATTTACGAGATACCGAAACCAAACGCAGAACGATTTCGCTTCGCGACTCCGAGCCGAGAATTCGCCGCGAGAACATTCGCGCATGCGCGCGCCATGCACTTCTTAGGGCGCGTTCAAAAACACTACCCGAGTGTCTCCGAACATCATTTTTATCATTATTTAACAACGGATGAAATGATCCTCGAAAACACTCGAGTAGTGTTTTCTAATGCCGATCTTTATTCTTTACTGCAATAAATAATCCGATCCATTTAATAATAGACTGTTCATGTAATAGCGGCAGTATGTTTAAATATAATTTTACAGTTACATTATAATTTTTATTGCACAATTTATTTTTAATATTTATAAAAATAAAGATATGAATTGAATTTCAAACCAGCTACGCTTGGCGTGAAATCAACTGGTGCGTTTGCGCATGCGCATGGTATATTTAAGAGACCGTGAAATATAAAAAAATTTAGAAGAAATCGCAGCGTGTAGAAAAAGTAAATCGAGGGATTACTTATATATTTTGAGTTCGAATATGTATCTTGAAATAAATTAAAAATTACAACAGTGAGCAAAATTACTAAAATATTTATAATTTCTAATGAATTTGCTCATTTTTATAATTTTTACCTCGTACATTGATTGTATATTTTAAAATGAAATGGAAATTATAAAAGTGAGCAAACTCATTGAATAATGACCAATAAAATTGTAAATATTCTAGTAAATTTGCTCACTTTTGTCATTTGTATTTTTTTAAGATACGTAATCGATTTCCTGTATGATCTAATTATAATTGCATGTGCTTATCGTACGTTTAAATGCTATTAAAATATAAACTTAAAGTAAAAAATAGAAAGATAAAAAGTATATACTATTTGAATTAAAACCTACGAGATTTATTTTGCGTATTTTTAAATAAGATTAAAGATAAAGTAAAATATGCTCTTTGACAATTTTAATATGTTTTATTACAATATTATTTATGCATATAATATTTATATGTATTATATCTATATCTATGTAAACTCTGCATTAGATTTATCGATAGTCGTGTTTATCGATTATACTTCGAGATTCATTTCGATTTAGCTTGTAAGATGGCGTACGTGTAACCTCATCTTACTACAGTCATCATTCATTCCATCACTTTTTCCACGTATTTTCTGTACTGTATTAGTCAGTATTGTTTCTAGGTTACTTCATTTTGAGAATTATTTTATATATTTTCTGAAATTATATTATAAATATATAATGCTCGAATTTTGAAAATATATATATCGCGTGTTCCAACTAATTACTCCAATGGATGTGGAAACTTTGTCGTGATACAACGCTTTTCTTCATGCCTAGCTACAGTATAGGTTAGTACAATTTTTCAAAACATTAATTTTTTTTATTTTTAATAATTAAAAATTATTAGGTGTTGGAATTAATTCGTAGCGTTTTACAAGTGATGGGAAGTACTTTCATTAATGTATTTTTTAATGCTCATGTGGAATAAATAACATTCTTTCATTAAAAAACGCTACGAATTAATTCCAACACCTAATATATCTTTCCAGAATTTTAAACAATGATCTATTTCGTTCTATTTTATAAGTATTTCAATGAAATGCAATGTAGATCTTGTTTTATTCAATAGCAGTTCTTAGAATGTGATTGTCTATTTTCAGGAGATAATATTTTACTGGGATCCGGCTAAATATATCAAAAGAAAAATGTCAGATGATTCAAGCTTGTATAGATTAGAAGGATCTGTAGGAAATGAAGGAGGTGGTCTGGTCATACGTAAGAAAACATCAGATCATACTTTCAAGAAACCTTCTATACTAGGTCTTGACAAGCTTGCAGAACGAAAAAGAAGAGAGCAATCGCAGGAGCCTACCAGCTCCAAGTCTAACAAATCTGAAGGAAAGGACAGAAGATATCGATCTTATGAAGAGGAGACTCCTACTCATACTGGAGGTGTTAATTCTGAAGCGCAACAAAGATTAGAGTCAAGACTCAAGCGTCAGCGATTAAGTGCAGATGATAGGAACTCTAAAAATTCATATAAAAGTCGTGAGAGAGACAGAGACAGACGAAGAGATCGAGATAGGGAAAGTCGAGGCAGAGATAGTAGCATAAGACAAACGCCTCTTAGATTCAGGGATGAGCCCCAAACGCCGAAATTTCGGACGAAAGATCCGACTTCTAAGAGCAATTGGGACGACGACGAGGACGAAGAACCAAAACGATCCAGCTGGGATCATCCGACACCGAATCTGTACTCTAACAGAGATGGTCGCGATAGTGTCAGAAGCGAATTTACTCCTTCCTATAAATACAATTCGTGGAACAAAGATTTTAAGAATTCCGGTGCCACTCCAATGATAGACGGAGAGGAGAAGGAAATGTGGGAAGAGGAACAGCAACGACTAGACAGAGAATGGTATGCGTTAGACGATGGAGAGAATAACGCTTTTGCTAATGTGTCCGAAGAATATACGCGGAAGAAGGAAATGGAGTTGGAGGCCAGGAGACAAAAACGCCTTTCTGCTCAGCAAAGACAAATAAATAAGGACAATGAATTGTGGGAGCGTAATCGTATGTTAACGTCCGGAGTTGTGAGCTCCTTAGATCATGATGACGATCCTGATGACGAGGGAGAGGCGAGAGTTCACTTGCTGGTTCATAACGTAGTCCCGCCGTTTTTGGATGGACGTATCGTGTTCACGAAGCAACCGGAACCGGTTGTACCTGTACGTGATCCCACTTCTGACATGGCTCTGGTAGCAAGGAAAGGTTCGGCACTAGTCAAAGCATACCGTGAGCAAAAAGAAAGACGTAGGGCTCAAAAAAAGCATTGGGAACTGGCAGGGACACACATCGGCAATATTATGGGTGTACACGATCGGCGTAAAGACGATAAAGAGCATGCAGGGCAAGAAACAGATTTTAAAGCTGGACAAAAATATGCTCGGCACATAGGATCGGGAGAAATAACGGGGGAAGCTAAATACAAATCTATACAGCATCAAAGGAGGAGTCTTCCTGTATTCGCGGTACGTCAGGAATTGCTTAATGTTATCAGGGAGAACAGTGTTGTTATAATAGTAGGTGAAACTGGTAGTGGTAAAACCACGCAATTAACGCAGTATCTTCACGAGGATGGCTACAGTCGCTACGGTATAATTGGTTGTACTCAACCAAGACGAGTCGCTGCTATGTCCGTCGCGAAAAGAGTATCCGACGAGATGGCTACTGCTCTAGGCGACAAGGTTGGATATGCAATACGTTTCGAAGATTGTACGTCGAAGGATGTGAGTAATAATAATAATTTAAATATAATTTTAATACCATAAATTAGTGTAACTTTGG